AGCCCATCGAGCCCCCGCACAGGTGAACAGCCATAAAATAGATGAATGTAGATCTATTAATACTAGATTAAAATAAAGAACTGACAATGAGAACAGATGGTGCTTGAAATAGGAGATGAACACAACACAGTGAGAAATAGCGGTGGTTATTTTCAATAGAAAGAGTGAATTTTATATGGACTGCCAACTTCGGAGGCACTCGGTTGACTCAATTGTTTCAGCATTAGATATGGTTGGGTTGGATCTTACCGCTTGTAGTAACGCGCTTCCGGAAAGCCATGTGCTCGGACAATCGTTTCCCCGGTGATACGGATTGCAAGACACCATACAAACCTTAAAAATAAGGCTAATCCTTGGCCGGGCCGCCCGGGCTTGTCCCCCGCTCATCCCGGCCCAGCCCAAGGAAGCCCATGAGTGAGCCCAGCCCAATGAGCCCGACCCATTGCAAGGCTTGATCCACACCCCTTACCCAACCTGCAACCCATATTAGTAGGGCTCCCGGCTCCCACGATACAAGTAATCCATTCACCTCCGGCCTGGTGTTTGCTTGCATCTATCATATCATGGTAACCTGGCCACGGCGTCTCCCCCTTTCCCCCTGCCGAGCAGCCCCAGATACGAAACAACTCCAACCTCCAGGCCCGCTATCCTCTCCGAGCATTTCCGGCCATACCTGCGACTCCTGGTATAAAATATACAAGCCAGGTATGCTCGTTCCTCCTCCGCAATTGATAATGACTGACAACGGAAAGATTGTAACTAAAGGCTAAGGGCCCGTCTACCTACAGACGGCCGTTTAGTTCATGTTGACGGTGGCAACCGTCAAGGGGGTCTTAACGGTCGGTAGCATTAGGGGCTAAATTATCATTTTGTGTTTACCTAATGCACTGTCTACCATACTGCAACATGGGCCTTACCATCAGAGAGTGAATCAAAGATTTTACAAAATACAATATAAGGACTTTTGAACTCACAATTCTCAACTCCCCCTCCATTTCAAGCACTGCTGACCTAGTAAAATATTGGACCCAACCTATATCCCTCACACACCACCTACAATGACTCATCGAGAGTCCTTCCACCTATTCTTGTAGCTCTTTTTTAGTTGTTTTGACATCATAGCCCAAATCTCTCATGGTACTATGCTGAACAAAGACCTTAATGATATTTGGCAATGGTTTCAATTCTGATATATTTATCCTAGAACTACTGGAGCAAAGAAAGCAGAGGATTGGCAGTGGTGGTATAGCTATTGTGGGCATAACCGGTCGGAGGCATAGTGACAATGCATCGATTTTTGAGGCTGATGGTGTTGCTAAAGTACCTACGCAAAAGTCTTGGTGATCATGCATCTTGGCCATGGCAATAATGGTCCGGTGTTAGTAGAGATTTTGAAATAACTCAACAACAAATCTTTTAAATGAGAAGAGATTATAGGAAATAAAATGTAAGACCACTATTTACATATTGATAAAATAAAAAATAAAAAAAGTTATTCCTAGTATCTTGTGTACCACCCCTTTGCTGAAATAACTGCTTGAACTCTGTCTGGCATTGACCTCCACAACTGCTCAAAAAACTCAGAAGGTATTGTATCCCATACCATGGGTAATACCTCAGCTAGCTTCTGCTTGACCTTCTCAGGACCACCTGGTGTTAAAGCAATGTCAGGATACTGAATGTGAAGCCTTTTCTTCAGCTCAACCCAGACATGTCCTATGGGATTAAGGTCTGGTGAACAAGGAGGGTGTTCAGCCAACTCAATCCCATTTTGGTCAAACCAATCTTGCACTGTCTGAGCTGTATGAACAGTACCGTTGTCTTGCTAGAAGATAGGATCATCAAGGGTGTCACAGACTCGCTCCAGGACTGGAATAAGGCAGGTTTCAAGCAGCTGGAGGTAGACCCACTGGTCTACTGATTTCACAACTAAGGGAACAAAGGTTCTTTTTTTTCTGCCCCAGAAGCATCCCCCGACCATCAAAGAAACCCTCTTTCCCTTTCCTGTCCCTCTTATACAGTCTGGATGCCACTTTTCAGAAGCAGATCTGAATACCCATTTTTGCTTTGTATTCCTACTCTTTTCCACTGTGCATTTATCACTCCAAATTACACCTTCAAACTTCTCTGCAGTCCAATTCTGGTGCGCCTTAGCCCAGGCCAGCCTCTTCTGAGCATGCTCTGGTGAAAGCTTTACTGTTTTCTTGGCTAGCCACTTCTTAACGCCACTCTGCCTGAGAGCCTGGTCCATTGTAGAAAGTGAGACATTAGAAGCCAACATCTACTACAATTTCTCCCTACTCCAATCCCTATAGAGCTTGGCCCCTCAAACTAATTATCCCTTCTCTCTCTAGGAAAGCAGGGGTGGTTGACCAGAATGTGGGAGGTTTTCAATTGAACCCTGCTGGAGAGAATGGGCAAGCAAATTGCGGACTGTTGACCATGGGCAGCCAACAATCTGGCTAATTATTGAAATTTGCTGAAAACCCTTGAAGAAAGCAAGGATCATGCCTTTCTCAACTCCAGTAAACTCTTTGCATGATGTCTTCGGTGCCATGGTTGATGTGGTAGGGAGAATTTGATCAGTCACCGTTGTGGTTGGGTTGCATCACCCTTGCTTGCCCGCCTTTTTCACAAAGACTTTTGTTTAGGTACTTTACCACACCTCTGGAGTACCTTTTCATTTTGACCGTCAAGCACCCAAAATTCCTGACGGTTGAACATTAGGTAAACACGTTTGGCACCGTCAGTTGCAACACAACCCTGCGCTGATGGTACCGTTCTAGCCCACCATACAAATTTACCTAACGGAACTGTTAGGTAAGCGGGCCCTAACATGACAGGAAAGGTACAAAGAAAACTCACATTTATCCGCGGTGTCAGCTGGTGATTGTCAACAGAGGCTCCCGGGGGTCTGGCAGTCGCACGGCACCACACGCAAGCTTATACGGTTCGAACAGCAAGTTCGTACAAAGCTACCATATGATACAATACGTGGAGCACGATAATCTCACCTGGCAGCAGAGTCCAAGCACCACGGCAAGCCCAAGGGTTGGAACTCAATTATTTTTGCTAAGAATTCCCGATGTAAACCCACGGGATGCAAACCAGGATAGCCATAAATCAGAGGGCAAAGCAGCTTTCTGGTATTGTACTGTACCTCCCGAATGTGTTCTGCTGTGATTTACTCTCTTCGACACTGACCACGGTTGGACTTTCTCGTCATCCATACCCTCTCCTCTCGCAACTTCATAACCATACCATATCCAATCCTGGCATGACCCCGGTTCTTACTGCTCCCCATTCACCATTGCCTCCAGGTTATTCTTCCGCGCGAGGTCTCCTTGAATCTCTGTCCATCCGGTGCCCCATGATACCAACCCAGTTTTCCAGATATCTCCTTCCCTCTTTGCCTTTTCTCAGTTTCACACAAAAACCCACACCTGCCAAGCTGGTAGAAAAAACAAAGCTCCATTCTCTCCCCCACAGCACAGTCATACGAATTCATAAGCTTTCCAAGGTTGGCTGCCAGGCAGGACCGGTTCTAGGAAACACGGTGGTGAGCCGCGTAAGGCCCAAAGCCCAGGGTGCTACAGCTGCCTAGTATGCTAAGATGTTGTACGTTATCGAATTTCACCAGCACATGGGCTCTGACCCCTGGTGCCTCACCGGCAACGTGGCCGCATGGCGAGGTTGCTGACAGCTGTTGCCGCCTTTTCTGGTCTGTGGTGTTCACGAAAAAGCACTTGGCCAGTCCTGCTGGAGGAAACTGCACCGGTTGTGATCCATAGTCTGTCCGGCCAAGGGCGGTATTTGGCACAGGAAATTGGCCGGAAGTATAGAACGGATAGTTTACACCGGTTGTTTTGGGGCTTGGGAAGAAACGCTGCAAAGTCTTTATCTGGAAGACCGCAAGGAGGTTACCGGTAGGTGTAGCATGGGGTTCTAGTGGCAGCTCTTGTCGTGCCTGCGAGCCAACAGGTTTGCGGTCCCTATGAGCTTACTGTGTGAGAGGGTACATGGGATAGTTTGGTATGAATACGAATGAATATGCTGCTAAGTGGGACTGGGAACGAGAAAAAATGAAGGAGGAAAACGAGGTAAGAATTCCCCACCCTAGTATCTCTTGCATATATCAAATACTTCGGCAGTCAACCTACACCTCCCAACCTTCATTCCATTGGTTTCACACATTGCACCATTGTTCGCAGTGGATCTCCACAACCTCCCAGGCCAGTAGAAATTGGTAGGTAACCTACATCACCTCAAGGTAACGCAAACTAGAGGCGATATGATGAATCACCCTGCCCGGCAATAGGACGTGCCGAAGAGCGCGGTGCTGTACGAAAATATGGGACAAGACGGCCTACAAACCGCATCCATGTCCGGGCCGGATTGCGTAGTATTCTCCGTCGTGTAGAGCGCTTTATCGTCTCTGCTTCGTTGCTCTTGGAGTCCTGTTCTGGCGCAAGAGCCAAGACGTGAAGGCCAGTTCGGTTGTCTTGGCGGCCCGCCCCGAGGACATTCTTGCGTCCCTCAAGTGCATCCCGATGCAGAGTCGCGGATTCAAGGTGCTTGCCTTGGTACTGTAGCGCAACATCTAGGTTATTTGTTGTGGTTAGGGTATCCGGGTGGTGTCGCCCGAGAACCTCGTCCCGGCCGGCGGGTACGCCCCGGTGCATCTCCCCCGATTTATCATACTTTCCCAGGTACCGCGGAGGAACAGCCAGGTTGTTCAGGCTTGTTCGAGTGTGAGGGTGGTCTTGCCCGGGGACTTTCTCGGGTCTCCCGGGCGCACGCCGATGCGTTTTCTCTGATTCACTGGACTTTTCTTGGCGCCGCCGCGCAACAGCCAGGTGGTCGATGCTTGCTAGGGTGTGTGGGTGGTCTTTTCCAAGTAGTTTCTCAGGCCCCTCAATTGCACGCCGTTGAATCCCCGCTGATTCAATGGATTTTCCTTGGCACCGGAGCGCAACAGCGAGATTGTCGAGTGTTGTTAGGGTATCGTGGTGGTGTCGTCCGAGGACCTTCTCACGTCCTTCAAGTGCACGCCGATACGTCTCTCGGGCTTCACTATACTTCTCCTGGGAGTGCAGAGCAACACCCACGCCATTGAGGCTGGTTAGGGTGTCTGGGTGGTCTTTTCCAAGTACCTTCTCACGTCCCTCAAGGGCACGCCGATACATCTCTCCGGCTTCACCATACTTCTTCTGGTAGTACAGAGCAAGAGCGAGATTGTTGAGTGTTGTTAGGGTATCCTTGTGGTGTCGTCCGAGGACCTTCTCACGTCCCTCAAGTGCACGCCGATACATCTCTCCAGCTTCACCATACTTCTCCTGGGAGTACAGAGCAACACCCACGTCGTTGAGGCTGGTTAGGGTATCTGGGTGGTCTTTTCCAAGTACCTTCTCACGTCCTTCAAGTGCACGCCGAAACATCTCTCCGGCTTCACCATACTTCTTCTGGTAGTTCAGAGCAACACCCAGGCCGTTGAGGCTGGTTAGGGTGTCTGGGTGGTCTTGTCCAAGTACTTTCTCACGCCCCTCCAGCGCACGCCGATGCGTCGTCTCGGATTCAGCGTACATTTCTTGGGATTGCAGCGCCGGAGGCAAGTTGATTGCACTTTTTAGAGCGTCGTGGTTGTCAGGCCCAAAAATCTCACTCACTTTCCGTTCAACCCCATTCACCATTTCCGATTCGTGGTATTTTAATGGACCACTCATCACGTTTGACAGGCAGGACAAGTGCTTCAAACCGCTTCGGAGGGCCCTGCAAGAATTTGCACTCTTTCAGCACTATCACGGCGTTGAAGGGTGGAATATTAGTTACCTTAAGTTTCCAATTCAAGCTTGCGCTCAAGAACTATAAAGCCAAACAGATATTCTTTGTATTTATAAGTAAAAATTTAAACCGCCCTCAAATAGGCGATGTGCTCGTTCAATCCCAAACGGCACATTAGGAAAGGAAAGAAACGAATGGAATGTAACGGCATTGTGACGCTCGGGACAGTCAGAACACAACCCACCGTCGTCAGCAGCCTGTGGGTGAGGGAAGGCCGGAGGAAGCTACGGTAAAGAACACAGTATTCCTCACCATGCCCGAGTAGGTGGGTTCCATCAGGTTGCGCAGGGAAATTGGTTGGGTCACAATTTGGCTCATGGCCCGTGATTGATGTATGCCTTGCTATCGGATGCGGGACTTGCGACCAGGATAACCACCTCCTAATCGGAAAGAATTTGTTTGCATCATTCAATGGCCACGCTGGGGAAATCACTATTGCCGAGCAAGCAGGAGCCCGTAGAATATACTGGAGTACCTTTCAACATATCAAACGATGCGGATGCACGAATACCAGTGCTCGAGTAAAGCTGTGAGGCCCATTATCAGAATAGGCTTTGCCTCGTGGCCCACCTTTTCTGAATAAATTAGTGCCCTCCTTTGAAGCCACATCGTCACGTGAGTCGACCAAACAGTCGATCATGCCAGAGGGAGCACAATTGCCGCATAAAACCGGGAGGAGCCGCACAATCCGATCACGGGGTCACATGTCGAATATTAGTGGCAAGGAGTTTGTGAATACCGAGCCGCCGGACCATGGTCTGCGCGCATATGCGAGATGCATGGAGTGGTAACGCGAACCCGGCTATTACGCATCACCATCTGTTCAAGCAATGGCATTGAAAGGGACCCAGATCGGTTTCCTTCCCGCCTTCGAACAATTTAGAAAACCCGCAAGTTTGTGTCAAAAACCGCCGACATGACCGCAGAAGACATATCTAGGAGGGATCTGATCTTTCATGGAATTGGTTCCCCCGCAACTTGTAAGATTTCTACCTTCACGACTACATTAACAGGAACTATTGAGTTCCGCGAATGGAGATCGCGGATACCTCCCTCACTCGTGCAATACGGTTTAGCACTATTTCCCTTTTCGCTACAGTAGAGCCCGGGGTGGACGCGACAGTTTTCAGTGGTCAATTTTTCGCTTGTCCTGCTCAGCCACTTAAGAGATGGGGCTTGGAACACCACAGTACGAGTGCGGCCGATAAATATAGTCGTCACGTGCCTTATATAAGGACACATCGCAGCCAAATGGTGCACCGAAATTTTCTTATCAGACTCACGTGACGAATATATCTATCGGCCGCACTGGTAGATGGGGCATTGTCCAATATAGCCTAGAGTATGAGACATTATCTTAAAGGTTGTTTTGTTGGCCAATTGCGCAAAGGTGCCGCATCCCCGAGGCCTTCGACACGAGTCAAAAGGGAGCTAGTGGCTCAGAGTCAGGAAAACTTAGCCGTCGTTTAGCGCGCCGCGATTAAGATTTCGCACGACGATATTTTTCCTCGTGATCTAAAATTGCATGCGAAATCTTGCCCGTGACATCCGTTGGATTGCCTATCGCGTCAGGTTACCGCAAAAACTCAATAAATCCGCACTCGCTCGTCAACCTCGGAACTTCCTAAGTTAATCTGTGAGAAAACACCCCGCGGCGACAGCACATGTGGACTTTGTCGGAATTAACGGAGCCTCCGCTACATTACGATATGAAGATAGGAGGAAGCTCCGCTAACGAAGTTGGATGCGGGGTAGTTTGTTTGGACAATGCATGCGAAAGGAGGCGCTTCGATGGGGATAGTGGTAGCTTAAGAGTTTGCAGAAGCGTGACCGCCTGGAGCTAAGGCCGGAAATTTTTCATTTAGGCACTTCTCGGTGTGATACTTTTGTATGGTTCCTGCACTTCAAAACGTCTATCAGGCTTGTGAAAAAAATGCTACGTGGCTGTACGAGTATGGTGGATGCTGTCTAGACAGAACAGCAGGTGGAACGCAACGAGGGACCCAACAGGGGACGCTTTACCCTTAAATCTGGCCAAAAAGCAACCCAACCAACCCCTAGGTTACGTCCTCCGCAATTCAGGGCTCATTGCATGATACCACACCCACTAGAGTAATTGAACGTCCTGCTATGGCGTCGAGAACTACTACTCCTAGATACCGGTAGCGGGACGGGACCTGGGAGAGATGAAGCTCCGAAAATTGTCCCCCCTCAGTCCCACCTTAATTGAAGCAAAACGTACGAGTAAAAAAGTGCTACCTATTGACAGAGGAGGCATCTGCAGCCCTCCAGCCTGAGGTTCAGTTATTCCCGACCGGGTATGGGTTTTAGAAGCCGGAAAACTTACCACCACGGTGAAGTTTATTCCCGGAAAAATCACATCCGATATACTGGCATGTATTTTCTATCTTCATGCAGCGGATTTCCACCGCAAAATCCGGGCACCCACGAATCCCTTCATAGAGGGAATACTCTACTTGCTGGCGGAGATCTCGCCCCCTTAGCCATAGTCACAGAATGCATCGAGCAAAAGGCGCTAAGTTATGGCAGGGTTGGGGTTACGACTCCGAGTCTCTCGCTTATGAGGACCAGTTTTCGCTTCAACCGTGCCCCGGAGGTAGAATACGATATCCAGTGCCTTATGCCAGTTGGGTTGGAAATTCCCCCGTAATCGCCCGCCTACACAACCCCAAGTACTCGAGTACCGGTATAAATGTAAAGGCGATTCAGGTCATTACAAATTCCACAGCATCACTATCAGTGAGGTGAAGTGGTGTCATTATTCTCTACTGTGCGCTGACTTAAAACTTAGTGGCCTAACCATGTTTTTAGTAAGATCATGTGAGTGATTTGCATTGAAGAGAGGGCAATCTTTTATCATGGAAAGGAGCGTGTGTTACCGGGAGGCCAAGGCGTCTTGGAAGGCTAGGGCCAAACAACTCTATTCGTAGATCGGCATTGTCTGATAGGCTCAAATCCAATACTTGTACTCAGGAAGCCTGGCATAGGGTGTTTCGAAATGCACGGCTACTGAAGGATACGGTACCATACCAGAAGATTCTTTGCATTCTCAAGGTTGGTTTTATTCTCACCTCTTGCACGCCGCAGCGAGGCATGCACCAATCCCTGGTCCAGCCCCAAATTGATATAATCCCCGTACAGTAGTTAAATCAATTACATTTCCCAACACTGAAGAAAACCACGCAGGGTGTGGGATACCCTGCTAGTTGCTCATCCTCACCCCGGTTGGTGGGGGACTTCTTGTTGGAAATGAGGAATTGCTGCGCAGCATGCTCTCGGAAGTGCCTCCAATGCTCTGTTCCGGCTCCTGGCTGCACCTTTTTCCTGACAGGAGATGTTTCGTCAGTGAAAAGATTCTTCCTCTGCAACAACGAATGTTACAGTCTAGTGATATGGAAGAGGAAACCTTTTCTCTTGACAGTAGTATAAGGGGACGAGGACAGAAGTTTCTGTACGGTGGTTTGGGAGTTCGGGTCAGAAGTGATAAGTCATGTGTTTTCTTCTTTAATTTTTCCTTCAACTAATAGAAGTCATCTCGTTCCCAAGTGGCTTTCCTTCCTGCTTCGTCAGTCTCTTCTCTCTCTCTCACTATCGTTACTCTCTTCTATCTAAATCAAAGAGTTGAATCAAACAGTCTTTGCTGAAGCCGGACTTTTTGCATTGTCTGTACAACTGCTGATGTCGGAAGAGTGGATTTTAACCTTCCCCTACTCCAAGACGTTATTGGCCACGGAATCCTCTATCGGAGGACTTCTCCTAAGTCTATTGGGAGTAAGGTCTATTGGAATAGATACCTGAATAGAATATATGACTTCCCGTAAACAGCAGGATTCCAGCCAGTTTTCTCTATCGCTGGATTGGGAATAAACTAAAGGACTGTGCAATAACAGGATTTCTTGTTAGACAAACATACTCTATTTCATTAGAATAGATAACTTGAATAGAAGCGGGGGGCGGGACCCCACTTGTAACACCTGGTTTGAAGCATCCTCTCTCATTATGCAACATTCGGAAATTTCAGTTCTATCCTGGTGGTATAGACTTACGGGAAGTCCCCCATTGCCGACTGTTGAGCCTCCACTATAATCTTAGCTAACATTACACCCCACTGCTACCTCAAAATTAGAGTAGCAAAAGCCCTCGTATCGGAGATTGGGTCCGTGACTATTCGTTCAACGATACTAAAGTACCCTACCAAATCGTTCCGTACGACATGAATTTTTACACCAAATATGGCCAAAAATCAACATTTTCAGAGCCACAATACCCACAACTGCCTCCTTAAAAACAACTAAATTTTTGGTATTGGGTAGGAAATCACTTTGGCCTTACCCTCATAGAAGCATGAATAAAAAATGATGAAATTCAGTCAATGGCATACAATGGTATTACCAAGTCCAAAAGTGACTTAATATTTTGTATGGGGCTCCATAGAAAAAGGTACATGGCAACCACATACCATGCACTTGCCTCATGCTATCTCCACAATTTTATAGGTTTTGAGAGCTCTGCAAAGTTT